TCTGCTTTGAGTTTATGAGCTAGCATAGTATGAGCCTTATTACCTCTCTCGTAAAACTTCTGTTTGGTAGACAGCATCGATTTCTCCACCTCTGTTATGTCCAGTTGTTGCAATTGTGACCTAACAGAGAGGATTCGTCGGAGTAAGTTAAGGGAGGGAGTAGAGGCTATTCTCCGCTGCAGGGACTTAATTTGAGCTTCCAGAGATGAACGGTGAAACTGGGTGTCACGTTTAAGCTTACTAGAAAGTGCAATACATTGACCTCTCATGACTACCTTATGTGCCTCCCATAAGGTACTAGGAAGGTCCACAGTACCTTCGTTCATATAAAAATATTCATGCAAGGAGGTCTCAAGTTGTAATTTAGTTGTTTCATTTTTAAGAAGCCATTCATTTAAACGCCAATTGTAAAATTTTACCGGAGGGAGAAACAAGCGTATCGACAAGATTATGGGGGCATGGTCAGACCATGTGATAGGGGTAATATCTGAGGAGACAGTAGCACGTAGAGCTTTATCATTGACTAAAAAACTATCTATTCTAGTGTAGGTTTCATGTGCATTGGAGTAAAAAGTAAACTGTCTGTCTGTTGAGTTCTCCATGCATCAAACAAAGTATATCTTTTAAGCATTAGTTGAAATTGATGTGCCAATCTTACTGCGCCCCCAGGTGTGGAATTTCCAGCAATCCCCAATCTATCCAAGGTTGGGGACTGGAGGACATTAAAATCACCACCGATAATCAAGTATTTATGAGGTATGGAAGACAATTTTGAAAAAATGGTTCTCAAAAACGATATTTGTCTAGTGTTTGGTGCGTATAAGTTGCATAATGTGATCTGGTCTTGTCCCCATGTATCATTTATTATAATATACCTGCCCCCCGGGTGAGTGATAACTTCTGATGGTTTAAATGGACACCCTAGTTTAAACAGAATTGCCACCCCTGCCCGTTTTCCAGAGGGAGAGTTCGCTAAATAATAATTCGGGTAGTAAGTTTTTATGAAGTTAAATGAACTCTGAGGAGAAAAATGGGTTTCTTGAAGAAATGCTACGTCCGGGTCCAAACGTTTAAGCTCTCTAGAGAGTAATCCTCTCTTTCGATTAGAGTTTAGTCCCTTTACATTTAAAGAGACTATATCATAATTACTAGACGGGGCCATTAGAATATAGAAAGAACGGAATTACTGTATATCGGTTCGTCAATACAAAATATATAACAGGCTTACCACCTATATGACGTCTCAGAAAATAAAGAGGTTTCCGAGGTCGCATCCTTGAAGGGCCATTTGTATAGGGCAGAAGGCCGAATTTCCCGTGAGAGAGTTTCTTCAAAATATACATAAACAAAGAAAAAAAAGTTATTCCAATTAACATTAAAAGTGGTGGAGGGAAGGGGGGGGTAAAGAGAAGAAAAAAAAAAAGAAAAAATATATTCTTAACAATAACACAACTGCTATTGTCGGGATCCGAAGAGTCCAACAATACCCTAACAACCCTAACTACCTCCAGTTTTTGTCTTTGTTTTGTTCTATAGTTCTGTATTTATGTTGAAACCCAAATAAAAACAAATTGATTAAAATTGTCCAAATATGACCATGCGTTCTAACAGGCACCAAAAAAAGACAGAGTGCGCATAATCATTCACACACAGCTGGCCACATACCCCCTACCCATTTTCTGCAATACAAGTATCCTTGAGAACACTTGTGCAGACAGATGTGGCTGTTAATTCTGCTGGCACAGAACACTGCAGTGTAAGGATAGTCATCAGCATTTTCACTAACAGAAAAAAAGTGTTTTAAAACATTTTCGAGCAGAATTAATTCACAAATTATAACATGCAAAGGTCTGAATGATAAAAATATATCAGGAGAGATGGCAGGAACTTAACATGTGCTTTCTTGAGGAAAGAAGGGAAATAGTGACACGATTAAAACCTTCATATGCATTAAAGTGACACTAAACTCAGGGGTTAAATCTTAAAAATACATTCAGTACATTAACTATTAACAAAAATGTATCTTATTTGTATATCACTTAGCTGTTGATCCTCAAATCATCTTGGAATTCATACTGACACTGTCCTTCCTTCTGGAGGGTGGCTACTTTTGTTCCCTATGATCCCTGTGTGTGTTATAAAGTATGTAATGGCATGTGATATGACTACATGAGGTTAGGAATCAATCACTATACCTGGATACATGATCGTGCATCCACAGAGAGTGATTTATTCCTAACCTCATGTAATCATATCACATGCCATTACATGCGGCGTGCAGGCGTTAACATGCAGTGGTTGTCACCAAATCATTAACTTGAATGGGTGATAACTGCCACTGGTAAATGCCAGCTTAAGGATTCCTGCTGCAGGAAACTGCAAGTTCTTGACACAGGAATCCCTAAATGCACCTAAACTTACAGGTGTGAATGGGGCCTAATACATACATACTGTACATACATACATACATACATACATACACACACACATACACACAGGAATACAATTTCACACACATACACACAAATCAGCAATAATACACTCCCCCCATTCCCCCCCCATTCCCTGGTACACCAACATGAAATAAAACAAAGAGCCCCCTCACCTGCATATGTTTCTGCAGGGATAAGGCGCTGAGGCACAATCTCTGGTGATCTAGGTGTTGGATAGCAAGGTCTGGTGCAGACCTTACTAATCCATCCTTTCGACCGGCATTCAGTGAAAACGCCGGCTGAAAGGATCTGCGTGCCGGCAGTGGCAGGAGCAGCTCTGCGATCTGCATCTGACAGAGATGCAAACCATGTAGCTGCTCCTGCAAGTCAAACCATGTGCTTGACTTGTCAACTGGCTGCGGGCTACATAGTACCAGTTCGAGCGCTGGTACTTTGAGACCCCTGGTCTACAGCAAAAAATACTTAGTGAGGGCCTGGGCCTGCCAGGCCACCCAGGCCCGCTAGGCCACCCAGGCTCCTTACATGAGTACTGGCTGTACCCTCCTGATGTAGACCTGGGTAGCGGGGTGTATCCCAACTATAGCCCACTATTTGCTGAATTTTGAGTCACAGGAGGACCGAAAAGAGAACTAATGCCAAAAAAGGTTCTGTTTTAAGTGTATGAAAAAAGTCTGGGAGAACAGGACTTTCACTATGAATCTAGGATCAAGAACACGGGACATGATCTCAAACTAGCAGGGGGATTCAAAACTAACTTTACAAAGTGTTATTTTACTGAAAGAGTAGTTAAATCTTAGAACAAACAAGTAATGAGGCAGTTAACTGTCAGTGTTTGGGAAAAACACAGATCTTTAGTTGGAATAAAAGGTCAAAAAACAAAACAAAAACAAGGGGGCAGACTAGATGGGCCACTTGGTCTTTTGCTGCCACCACTCTTTCATGTCTCTATGACAAAGGCAAGGAATGATTTCCTGCTTTTAAATAAACACAGGTGTATAGCAATCATAACACAGTTACAGATGACAAATACATAAAATCCATGACAGGTACTGTCTGGAACACAGTACCCTCCATAAAGAGGCTGATAGCAAATATATATCAACGGCTGTTTTGTCTCCAATATCTTGATGGGAAGTTATTGATGTGGTGTCATCTTCATGGGATTCATACAGATACAGATATATTGCTCTAGATTTAACTCATACTTAACTTTATGACACACACCAAAATCCCCGAAAAAATCAATATGAAAGAGATAAGACAAATTAATGTTTCATGGACTTTCTAACACAGAAGGGAGGTAACAGAACAGATGCTTTAATATTCAATAAGCATTATGATGTTTTGCAACCTGGGAATATTTCCATATACTGTATGTGTGTTATCAAAAAGTGAACTTGTAGCTGCCATATAGAAACGGAAGCAGCTGTACCCATAACAAAGAGAATTAGGTTAGGTAAGGTGCATCTGGCTCACACTGCTTGTTAGCTGCTGACATAGTAACTGTGCTGAAGTTGACAAATTAGTATTCTGACTTCAGCAGGAGAGATATGATATAGAGAAATGGCACTGTATGGAATGTCTGTCATCACTGGGATACTAATCAGTGGAATATATTGCTGTGTGATTCCTGATGATTTTGTGGGGGCAAGAGCACACGGGGACATTATTATTGGTGGCTTGTTCGCAGTGCATGGCAGAATGATGAACTCAGTTCGGGGATATCCACATCAGCCGGCTATCCAGAATTGTGCTGGGTGAGTAATATTTTTCAGAATGTACAATCATACAAGTATTTTTCATAGTGCTTTTAAAATGAGAAAGGTTCTATATTTTTACCTGTTATCACTGCAAAAAGGAAAGTAAATATTTATTTAAAATAAAATAATTACAATAATAACATAACAATATCAACTAAGCATTCTTACTTAGCCATTTAGCCATAACATGTAATGTAAGTAATGAATGAATTAGTCGTCAGTAAATTTTGACTGCAATATAATATATACTATGGTCATTGCATGCTAATTTTACACAAATAAAGAGTAACCTGTAAAAATAAAAATAGTTGGTGTGCAATAGTAAAAAAAGAAAAAAATATTTTGATTCTGTTTATTTACTCATGGTATGGCGCAAATAAACACAAATTAATAAAGGTTTATGTTTTGGCATTAGAATGCAAATTGCCTTGGAAGTCTGTGTAGTAGCATCATTGTTGTGTTGGACCAGCTTTGTAATTTATGCCAAATTCAATTTGTGACAGTTTGCAACTCAGAACATACCACCACTCCTTTAGTACAAATTACTACCCATATACTTTAGTCATGTAACCCACAGCAACAAATCAGAATCCATCATCCACTGGTCTGGTTCCAGCAGAGTAAATTATCATTGATTGTGCTTAACAATTAGCACTCTTTACTAAATAAGGATGATTTAATCAAGGTTAGGTCACCTAGGTCTCAGGTTTAGGTTGGCAGAATACATTTTCTACCAGCTTGTTGTGTTTTTCTTGGGGTTAAATGTACTTGACCTTCTAGCTCCATGAATATGTGTGATGTTTGTTTGTGTATATATATATATGTATATAATATATATATAGGTAAGTATATAAAATTATATTTTATAGTCCTGATCTTAATAAATAAAGAAACTATGCACTAAACCATGACACATTCCCTTAAAGAGATTGATTTAGTCATTGTGAAGAATATACTGTATAAGAATAATATACCTAGAACAGTAAGACTTTATGGTCTGTGTTTATGTGTATGTGAGGTAAGTGAGGTGAGCCACCACCTGGGGTTCTTAGAGGATAGAAGGGTGCACCTCTCCCCAAAAATATGAATGTGAGTAAGGTAACTCTTCAGTGCTGTTCAGTGATAACCTTCAAATCTTTACAAACAGATACAGAAAACACTGTAAGGCTTACCGTACATTTAGCAGGCTTTACAAGAATGTAAAGGGTTCATCCACCTAAAACATATATTTTAGTTTTTCATACATGCTGGAGAGTTAAATTAATTGACAGTTTTTTTTATCTCTTGGGAACATTGTTAATGTGATGTCTGTGCTTAGGTACCAATGTGTGTACATGTGCTGTGGCCATAATGAGGGGCTCCTGTTCTCCCTGTTGACCTTTTTATTCCATAATAATAAATAACACACATAGGTGAAGGCTACACCAAAGTTGACACTTACATCAGGTGGATCCCACTGTTGGAGCATCCAGAACATTTAAGAAACGTGGGGTTGACTAAGATTACCATGCCTGGTTTTGAAATAAAATATCACTTTAAGATGGGCTAGACGTTTAAAGTTGTCAGCTAAGCTAGACTCAGAGCACCCAGTAGCAAGTCAAGCACTAGAGCAAGATAGAAAGACTTGAGGGCATTTTAGCAGCTGCAACATCATCACTATCCTCTGTAGTCTCTATGGATAACCGACAGTGGCTGAAACCTGTATCTACACTGTTTGGCATAAAGACTATTTAAATCTACATACAATTAATTTTATTTTATTTTTTCTGCTAGAATGATATAACATTATATTTGCATGTAAATCCTTTCATCTGATATATATGCAATCCAGACCCCAGTTAGCTTTAAATGATCCCTATGTTATTATGTTATACAGTATGCATATAATGTATGTTTTAACCTGGGAAAATGGAAGAACAAGGCTGTGGGAAATGTGATCTAATTACTTTTTCAATTTTGATTCTGAAAATATCAGCACTGCTATATAGTTTTACTTCAATATTTACCAATACCAATCACCTTATCTTAACAGAAGTTGCCGTTCACTCATCTCACTATATTTAACTCAAAAAAGATTTGTTGGTGTTGGTTACTCTTAAGAGCTGTTTCTCTTTTATCATTTATATTTCCTAGGCACTGGGTTCTTTATCACCTTTTATACTTGCTCTAATGACATTGCCCTGGAGAACATGGGCATATACTGTATTTAGCTCCATGACTACAGAATGGAGAGCGAGACACTTCAAAATCTGTCTCCATAAAAGCGGGCTCCAATAATATCCTTAATGCTGACCTAATTTCTAAATTCATGGGCTAATCTTTAAACTTAAAACAAAAATATATATATACAAATTGTGTTTGAGTTGAGGTGGAAAGTTCAAAGAAAAGTCCAATTTGAGTGCACTTCAGAAGGGTCTGCATGCTGAAGGCTGGTATGAGGCTCCTGGTGAAATCAGACCGTGGTGTCTTGTATGTATCCTAGAAAAACAGAAAACTAAAACCGGAGCACCACAACCTAGCACAATAAGGTTGGTTTTTGAAGGGGCAACACAATATTTACTGATATGCACTCACATGTGGCGGGCTTTTTAGCAGTTTATGACCATGAGGTGTGGCGTGGTGTCAGGCGGGTCACCCAGTGGCTGGGATAGACTCAGCTTGGTCTGCGGGGTGGGGACGAGGGTTCAGGTACCAAATTGACAGGTGAAAAAACAAATAAAAGGAGCAGACAATGTGTGTAACTGATGATGCAATGGAAGAGAAGAAACATGTACACTCACAAGCATTGATCACTGAGTGTTTGTAAATAATCGAGGACATAGCATGTCTACTGTGTCTCCAATTATGAATGAATGGGAAGTGATCTACATCACTTCATGTTCATTTGTGATTGCGGACATGGAAAACATACTATCTCCACAAGTTATGAATGAACAGGAACACTCAGTATAGAGGCTTCCTGTTCATTGATAACAAGGGCTGAAGAAAAAGAGATTGAGGACTCTGTGTTCTCAATCTCTTTTTCTATTTTAAAAGGGAAATATCAGGGATCTGTTCAGACCCCTGATATTTCCCTGAAGCCCCCCACAGTAAAGTAAAAAATAAAAATCTTTTATAAAAATAAATAAATAAAAATAAAATATTTCAAAAACATTTGAAAAGCTTAGACATTTTTTTTCAGTTTTGAAAATGTAATTTCAGTGCCCCTGTAATCCATACTATTTATTGTATGTCTTGATATTTTGATAAACTTTTCATCCTGCTTCCCTTTATTTTCCACTCCCTCTCTTCACTTTCCTTTTGCCAAATCATATCAGGGTTATTCACAAAAGGGTGAAGAGTTTGGAGAAAGTAGGAACTATCTAGGCCAAAATAGCTGATTTGGAAAGAAAAGCTGTAATTAAGCTCACTTTCCAGTTCAAACTCTTCACCCTTTAGTGAATAACCCTGTATATTTCTTTGTAATCTTTAAATTTACTGACTTATGTTGGAAAAATATAATTTCTTAACACATGCTGTCACTACTTGATAACAATTATTAACCTCTTGCCGTCCGCCCGTTGTAAAAAAACGGACGGACGGCACTGCAGCATTGGCGGGTTTTTTTTCTGCTCGTGCGCGCCCCCTAGCGGGCACGTACGGGCAGAAAAGACCCGACCATTGCACACACCCGTTACCGGGTGTTTCACATATAGGTGATCAGCGGCTCCATAGCCCACCGATCGTTTATAAAATGGCCTGGATGGGAAGGGGGTTTAACACCACGGATGTCAACTGGTTAAAGTAGTATTAAACTCTATGTAAAATGTTTTACACTGATACATTCAGATCAAGCAAATGAGCTTTCCCAAGTACTTATTTGTATCTGTACACAAGCAGTTTCTATTTCTTAATGCGGATGCCTCCAGGTCTCTCAATACTACTTCCCTGAACTTCCGTTCAAGAAGCATGCACACTGAGTACTTCAAAATGAACACTCAAGAACTTCACAGCACAGTCACCAGCAACTGTCCAAATGAGGGGAAAGAAAGAAAGGACTAGTTGCCTGGATGCCATGAAGGTCTGCTGGTTTTAATACTTTTCAGTTTGTCAGCCCTATTGTTTGTTGCTGTGTATGGAGATGTAAGATTGGTTTCATGATTCTAAGCCCTAAGCATTTAAGAGTCTAATTCTCTTTAAGGACACCTGTCATCAGGGAGAAATGAAGGCTACTAATGTTGATAGCAGAATTTGTCAAACTTTGTCCCATTATCTTTTGAAACTGCCCAGTTCTAGTATTTATATGATTTGCTCTGGATGACAAGTGTCTAATGTGTTTTTGTGTTGTTACGTGTAACCAGTGCATTTAATTACTCAGCTTGGTAAAACAGCAATATTGGTTTCATTGCAGGTTTGAGATGCAGGGATTCCTGCAGATACTAGCCATGGCTCACACAATAGAATTGATAAACAATTCCTCACTTATACCTGGAGTAAAACTGGGATATGAAATCTACGATACCTGTTCAGAATCCACACAAGCAATATCAGCTACATTGCGATTTCTGTCTACATACAATACTTCAGGAGACACTTTGGTATTCAAATGCAACTATTCGGACTATACACCCAGAGTAAAAGCTGTGATTGGAGACAGTTATTCAGAAGTATCCATTGCTGTTGCAACGTTACTGAACACCCAGCTTATCCCACAGGTAAGAGCTCAGTTGAAATCTGTGTTATCTAGGCATTGAACTCTAAGGTTTTTTTTTTCCTGTAAAACATATATCAGATGTTGAATTGCATATTATTATGACAATTACTATAAATAACGTATGGCATATTCCTGAGTGTTTACAGTTTTTACTAGCATGTAAGGTTTCTTTACTAAAAGAACCATTAATAATGTAGCCTATGACTCTGCATGGAGTGGTGCAATACAACAACGGCTCAGGTTAACAGCTAGGTTAGTATTTTCAGAGGGAGATCAACAACGGCAGTTTTTGTGATTTGTAGAAATAGATTAGTATAGGCAGAGCTTTAATTTGTATAAATAATGATCAACAATTTTATTTGTGAGAACATTCTGAAATGATACCGTTATTTATGTAGGGCTATGCTAAGGCCAGTCATAGACATCAGAGGGCAGGCAGATGCACAGCCATGTTCCAACTTCCCCTTGGTTTATCCATTAAATGATGAATAAACAAGCATTCGTGCCCCAGCCATGGCTGTAATACGTAGGCAGGATGGGTAGCCGATGCCAGACACCCCCAGCAGTGGCTTATCAAGCAGGAATCAATAGCGATAGCTCTAGTATGAGAGATTGCTTTTTTCCCAAGATCTGTGAACAGAAGTGTCTAGCTGTCCACAGACAAAAAAAGTCAAGCTTACAATCTAAGGATCCTATCTCACCTGCATGCATACATACACACATACTAGGGCTGAATTAGATCAATTAACCTTCCAGCATGTCATCGGAGTGTGGGAGGAAACTGGAGTATCCAGAGGAAACCCTTATAAGAGATAACATGCATAACTCCATAGTAATGTACTGTTGTTTCAATGTTTGCCTTGACTTTTTTTTACAGTTTCTTACTCCTTCATAATTTTTGCTTTATGAGTGATACATAACTTATCCTAAAGGTAAAATGTACCATAAACAAAATGGCTTATTTATAGTATTATTATGAAATAACCAGTGGAAATAAGTAGAAATCAGCCCCAGCAGTTTACAGAGACCAGACTTATGAAGTCGCTTTCTTATGGGTATGCTTGCCTACATTGGATACTGTGGGCAGTATCATGCACAGGATTTGAAAATACATGATAAAGGTCTTCAAATTGTTATTATTATAAAGTCATTATTTTGTTTAAAAAAAAACTTTTTTTGCAGGTCAGTCACGCATCATCTGCTGAAATACTAAGTGATAAATTTCGATTTCCTGCTTTCTTGCGGACAATTCCAAATGACTCTTACCAAACTAGAGCAATGGCAAAACTCATTAATTTCTCTGGATGGAACTGGATTGGACTTATAACCATGGATGATGACTATGGGAGATCAGCTATAGAGAGCTTTGGAGCTCAGGCTATCAATATCAATGTTTGCATCGCCTTTAAAGAAGTCATACCTTCTCATTTATCTGACAGCACCGTACAGTCTCGGATAGATAAGACCATTCAAACCATACTGAAAGAAACAAGTGTCAATGTAATTGTAGCTTTTCTAAAGCCTTCACTTATCATAAAGCTTTTTATAAAAGTAATGGAGAAGAAGATAAAGAAGACGTGGATTGCAAGTGATAGTTGGTCTGTGTCTACAGGAGTTAGTAGCATACCTGATATTGAAAAGATCGGCCAAGTGATTGGATTTATGTTTAAAAGTGGTGATACTACATCTTTTCAGGAGTATTTAAAAAATCTAAACCAACAGAAGTTTGAGATGAATCGTTTCGTGGACAAATACTCAGTGCTTGTGTCTGACTGTTCAAAGGGGAAATATAGTGATATATACAGTTGTGTTACTGATTCTTCCAAGGAAGCTGTAGTCACCTCCAGAAGGATAAAAAACAAAGCTCTGGGAGTGGACTTCCTTTCAGCCACAGTGCAGCCAGGATTTGTCTTTAGCACTCAGTTGGCAGTGACTGCTATAGCACATGCTATCCAAAAACTGTGTTTGAATAGAAACTGCAGGAATCCTAATGCTTTTGCACCATGGGAGGTAACATTATTTATGATGTGATTTATATTTATTTTTAACAGTTTTCAGATGATTAGTTACAGATATACACAGAGCAGAACTTATTTTAAAAAATCCTAAAAGTAGTGAGGAGCAAACTGGTCAGGTTCAGATCACGGAAGGATTTGTGAACCCAGCCTGAAAATTCATGAAGCCCGAACACAGTACCCAAACCCCATTGAATCTATGGGAGCCTAATCTTGTCTTGGGTCTTTTTCAATGTCAAATTGCAAACATTTGGTTAAAAAAAAAGTGGATGAGTAGCTGGGCACGATTTTTTTGAATGCCACTTAGTGCGGAGTCGGTCTTTTAATATTGCTTAAAGGGCAACATTAAAAATACACATTTCCTTTAAATAACATGCTCATGAAGTAGTCCACCTGTACGATATACTTCAATAATGAAACTAAGAATAACTTTTGCTGCTAAATGACCAGTTGACGTCAATGACCACATATGACCAATGGAATGGTATGATCATATGCGGTCAATGATGTCAGCCGGCATCACCTGCCAGCTTGCCTACATTCAGCAGCTGGCCAGGGAGCTGTGAGTTGCGGCGAGAGTCCAGCGGGAGTAGGATTGTCCTGTGCGATCATTGTATTTGTGTCGGTAAATCATCAGGGCTTTTTTTTATCATGATTGACATTGGCAAAAAAAACAAACAATAAACACCTTAATATGTATACTGGACCATTATCCTATATAGGGGCCTGGTATGAATTTTGGGGGACCTCATGCGAAAAAGACATTAGTTTGCCTCCAAAATCCATACCAGACCCTTATCTTTGATTACTTAGCTTTCTAAATGGAAACATAGTAGGGCTTTCTAAATGGAGACATAGTAGGTCCAGCTGTCACAGGCTGCCATCAGAAAACTAGGGGGGGGGCAGTTACAAGACCAATTATCCTGCAAAAAGAGAGAGCCTCTGTAACCAGTCTTTATTTCAGAACACTTCTGCACATAAGAAAAGTGCAGAAGTTGTTTGATGCTTGATCACTGCACAGATCTGGATGAAATACACAAAAGTAAGTTGCTACAATTCAAGTAAGAATACACACACCCCTTGTATTCAAACAGTACTTATTTAGTCTGGGATTTATACATTTGCAGCTGTAGAGCCTGTCTATGGTGCGTTGCATAAAAATTTGCCCTATAACATTCTCACTAGGGATGCACCGATACCACTTTTTTAAGGCCGAGTACGAGTACCGATACTTTTTTTTTTTTCAAGTACTCGCCGATACCAATTACCGATACTTTTTCTTAAAGGGACAGGTCACATTTTTTCTAAAGCAATACAAAATTATGATTTTAGGTTAGTTCATTAATATTATGAAGAAAATGAACACTCTGTAGTGTGGCACAGCTATATCCAATTCTGCATACCTGGCTTTATATTATAAGAACTTTATAATATAAAGCCAGTTATGCAGAATTGGATGGCGGTGGGGGAAGAAGGTATTGCGGCCGTGGAGTGTGTGGGAAGAACAAGGGCCCACTGTGGGTCACTCGTGGTGGCACTGTATGGGCAGACCCCAAAGTGTGGGATCGGGGTGTGGGGCTCCTATGAGTGGATCAGGCGATGGGGAGACGCACACGCACATCAGAGCCGGGACTGTGGCCCGGACAGCGCATGTGTGACCGCCGTCGGCGGCTGTGGGGGAGCCGCACGGACTGGATGGTAGAGGCAGCTGGAGTGAAGACAGGTCACGCTGATGGTAGATGGGAGAAAGGGTCCAACGTTCCAATGTCTCTTGCAGGAACGGTGCGCTGCGAAACATATCTCCCACCAGTCACTCCTGACATCTGCTCCATTCTGACCTCTTCTCCCGCTGATTGGCCGATTGGATGAACACCATAAAATCCCCTTCTTGGAGGCTCATTGAGAGACACAGGATTAGAGACAATTGTTTTAAACCACTTCCTACAGAAGGATTTGGACACTATCAAACAAAAAACATTACAAATTAACATTAATGCCTCAATGAGGCTACCATAAGGACTCACATGCAGAAGCAAAGAGTGAATAGACCAAGTCTTGGAGTGTAAAGTTTGAAATTTCTCTGGTGGAAGGGAAACTCTGGCTTGAGCTATGTCCAGGACCAGTCCCAGATACCCAAAGCGATGAGTAAGTTCCAACCCAGACTTCTCAAAAATTCAAGATCCAACTGAACCTTCTCTGGGACTGAACTGTCCACACCACATTGTTGGTCAGGATCTGTGCTGAATGTTCCCTCAAGAGGAAGTTATCCAGAGAACCCCCACAATAGGGTTTCTCTGGATGACTGTGGACCCACAGCAAAGCATAGGAGTGCTGTGGACCAACAGCAAAGCATAGGAATCAGTGATGTGCTGGAAAAACAGAGTCATCCAAATACACGTCCTTGATGCCTACCAAAGCCAGAAAGCTATGATTGACTGGGTAAATTCCATATGGATTTTATAGGACCAAATGAAGACATTCAGGGAGTAAATCAAAACAAATGGACTTGCTGTATTTTTTTCAGATGTTTTACTGGTCATCCGACTAGCTTTCTCAATTCAGAATAACTTGTACAAGAATTATCTGGAAATAAACATGGTGAACGTTGCTTCAATCAACATAATCTGTTTATTATAACCAGCATGGGGTCAAAGGTGCTGATTGCACTTGCATGATTAGAGCTGGCAGGCTGTATGTGGCAGACAATAGATCCCCCCCACC